CTACATGATGACTTGTTGACTAGTTTTACTACATGATAACTTGTTTACTAGTTTAGTTTTACTATATGATGACTTGTTTACTAGTTTAGTTTTACTCTATGATGACTTGTTTACTAGTTTAGTTTTACTCTATGATGACTTGTTTACTAGTTTTACTACATGATGACTTGTTGACTAGTTTGAATATGTGATGACTTGTTTACTACATGATGACATGTTTACTAGTTTAATTTTACTCTATGAGGACTTGTTTACTAGTTTAGTTTTACTATATGATGACTTGTTTACTAGTTTTATTATACGATGACTTGTTGACTAGTTTTACTATACGATGACTTGTTGACTAGTTTTACTATACGATGACTTGTTGACTAGTTTTACTATGTGATGACTTGTTGACTAGTTTTACTATGTGATTACTTGTTGACTAGTTTGACTATGTGATGACTTGTTGACTACATGATGACTTGGTTACTAGTTTAATTTGACTATATGATGACTTGTTTACTAGTTTTATTATACGATGACTTGTTTACTAGTTTTACTATGTGATGACTTGTTGACTAGTTTTACTATACGATGACTTGTTGACTAGTTTTACTATGTGATGACTTGTTGACTAGTTTTACTATACGATGACTTGTTGACTAGTTTTAGTATGTGATGACTTGTTGACTAGTTTTACTATATGATTACTTGTTGACTAGTTTGACTATGTGATGACTTGTTGACTAGTTTTAGTATGTGATGACTTGTTGACTAGTTTTACTATATGATTACTTGTTGACTAGTTTGACTATGTGATTACTTGTTGACTAGTTTGACTATGTGATGACTTGTTGACTAGTTTTACTATGATTACTTGTTGACTAGTTTGACTATGTGATGACTTGTTGACTAGTTTGACTATGTGATGACTTGTTGACTAGTTTGACTATGTGATGACTTGTTGACTAGTTTTACTATGTGATGACTTGTTTACTAGTTTAGTTTTACTATATGGCCTCTGGCGGTCAGTAAGTATGAAATAGAACTAAACTAGTCAACAAGTCATCATGTAGTAAAACTAGTCAACAAGTCATCATATAGTAAAACTAGTAAACAAGTCATCATATAGTAAAACTAAACTAGTAAACAAGTTATCATGTAGTAAAACTAGTCAACAAGTCATCATGTAGTAAAACTAGTAAACAAGTCATCATATAGTAAAACTAAACTAGTAAACAATTATCATGTAGTCAAACTAGTAAACAAGTCATTATATAGTAAAACTAAACTAGTAAACAAGTCATCATGTAGTCAAACTAGTAAACAAGTCATTATATAGTAAAACTAAACTAGTAAACAAGTCATTATGTAGTAAAACTAGTCAACAAGTCATCATGTAGTAAAACTAGTAAACAAGTCATCATATAGTAAAACTAAACTAGTAAACAAGTTATCATATAGTAAAACTAAACTAGTCAACAAGTCATCATGTAGTAAAACTAGTAAACAAGTCATTATATAGTAAAACTAAACTAGTCAACAAGTCATCATGTAGTAAAACTAGTAAACAAGTCATCATGTAGTAAAACTAGTAAACAAGTCATCATATAGTAAAACTAAACTAGTAAACAATTATCATGTAGTCAAACTAGTAAACAAGTCATTATATAGTAAAACTAAACTAGTAAACAAGTCATCATGTAGTCAAACTAGTAAACAAGTCATCATACAGTAAAACTAAACTAGTAAACAAGTCATTATGTAGTAAAACTAGTCAACAAGTCATCATGTAGTAAAACTAGTAAACAAGTCATCATATAGTAAAACTAAACTAGTAAACAAGTTATCATATAGTAAAACTAAACTAGTCAACAAGTCATCATGTAGTAAAACTAGTAAACAAGTCATTATATAGTAAAACTAAACTAGTCAACAAGTCATCATGTAGTAAAACTAGTAAACAAGTCATCATGTAGTCAAACTAAACTAGTAAACAAGTCATGTAGTCAAACTAGTAAACAAGTCATCATATAGTAAAACTAAACTAGTAAACAAGTCATCATGTAGTAAAACTAGTAAACAAGTCATTATATAGTAAAACTAAACTAGTCAACAAGTCATCATGTAGTAAAACTAGTAAACAAGTTATCATGTAGTAAAACTAGTAAACAAGTCATCATATAGTAAAACTAGTAAACAAGTCATTATATAGTAAAACTAAACTAGTAAACAAATCATTATGTAGTAAAACTAGTAAACAAGTTATCATGTAGTAAAACTAGTAAACAAGTCATCATATAGTAAAACTAAACTAGTCAACAAGTCATCATGTAGTAAAACTAGTAAACAAGTTATCATGTAGTAAAACTAGTAAACAAGTCATTATATAGTAAAACTAAACTAGTAAACAAGTTATCATATAGTAAAACTAAACTAGTCAACAAGTCATCATGTAGTAAAACTAGTAAACAAGTCATTATATAGTAAAACTAAACTAGTCAACAAGTCATCATGTAGTAAAACTAGTAAACAAGTCATCATGTAGTCAAACTAAACTAGTAAACAAGTCATGTAGTCAAACTAGTAAACAAGTCATCATATAGTAAAACTAAACTAGTAAACAAGTCATCATGTAGTAAAACTAGTAAACAAGTCATTATATAGTAAAACTAAACTAGTCAACAAGTCATCATGTAGTAAAACTAGTAAACAAGTTATCATGTAGTAAAACTAGTAAACAAGTCATCATATAGTAAAACTAGTAAACAAGTCATTATATAGTAAAACTAAACTAGTCAACAAGTCATCATGTAGTAAAACTAGTAAACAAGTTATCATGTAGTAAAACTAGTAAACAAGTCATTATATAGTAAAACTAAACTAGTCAACAAATCATCATGTAGTAAAACTAGTAAACAAGTCATTATATAGTAAAACTAGTAAACAAGTCATTATATAGTAAAACTAAACTAGTCAACAAGCCATCATGTAGTCAAACTAGTAAACAAGTCATTATATAGTAAAACTAAACTAGTAAACAAGTCATCATGTAGTAAAACTAGTAAACAAGTCATTATATAGTCAAACTAAACTAGTCAACAAGTCATCATGTAGTCAAACTAGTAAACAAGTCATTATATAGTAAAACTAAACTAGTAAACAAGTCATCATGTAGTAAAACTAGTAAACAAGTCATTATATAGTAAAACTAAACTAGTCTACAAGTCATCATGTAGTAAAACTAGTAAACAAGTCATTATATAGTAAAACAAGTCATTATATAGTAAAACTAAACTAGTCAACAAGTCATCATGTAGTAAAACTACACTAGTAAACAAGTCATCATGTAGTAAAACTAGTAAACAAGTCATCATATAGTCAAACTAAACTAGTAAACAAGTCATCATATAGTAAAACTAAACTAGTCAACAAGTCATCGTATAGTAAAACTAGTAAACAAATCATCATATAGTAAAATTAAACTAGTAAACAAGTCATCATGTAGTAAAACTAGTAAACAAGTCATTATGTAGTAAAACTAAACTAGTCAACAAGTCATCATGTAGTCAAACTAGTAAACAAGTCATCATATAGTAAAACTAAACTAGTAAACAAGTCATCATGTAGTAAAACTAGTAAACAAGTCATCATATAGTCAAACTAAACTAGTAAACAAGTCATCATATAGTAAAACTAAACTAGTCAACAAGTCATCGTATAGTAAAACTAGTAAACAAATCATCATATAGTAAAATTAAACTAGTAAACAAGTCATCATGTAGTAAAACTAGTAAACAAGTCATTATGTAGTAAAACTAAACTAGTCAACAAGTCATTATGTAGTAAAACTAGTAAACAAGTCATCATATAGTCAAACTAGTAAACAAGTTATCATGTAGTAAAACTAGTAAACAAGTCATCATATAGTAAAACTAATCAACAAGTCATCGTATAGTAAAACTAGTAAACAAGTCATCACATAGTCAAACTAGTAAACAAGTTATCATGTAGTAAAACTAGTAAACAAGTAATCATATAGTAAAACTAATCAACAAGTCATCGTATAGTAAAACTAGTAAACAAGTCATCATGTAGTAAAACTAGTAAACAAGTCATCGTATAGTAAAACGAGTAAACAAGTCATCACATAGTCAAACTAGTAAACAAGTCATCATGTAGTAAAACTAGTAAACAAGTCATCATATAGTCAAACTAAACTAGTCAACAAGTCATTATATAGTCAAACTAAACTAGTCAACAAGTCATCATGTAGTCAAACTAGTAAACAAGTCATCATATAGTAAAACTAAACTAGTCAACAAGTCATTATGTAGTAAAACTAGTAAACAAGTCATCATATAGTAAAACTAAACTAGTCAACAAGTCATTATGTAGTAAAACTAGTAAACAAGTAATCATATAGTAAAACTAATCAACAAGTCATCGTATAGTAAAACTAGTAAACAAGTCATCATGTAGTAAAACTAGTAAATAAGTCATCGTATAGTAAAACGAGTAAACAAGTCATCACGTAGTCAAACTAGTAAACAAGTCATCATGTAGTAAAACTAGTAAACAAGTCATCATGTAGTAAAACTAGTAAACAAGTCATCATGTAGTAAAACTAGTAAACAAGTCATCACGTAGTCAAACTAGTAAACAAGTCATCATGTAGTAAAACTAGTAAACAAGTCATCACATAGTCAAACTAGTAAACAAGTCATCACATAGTCAAACTAGTAAACAAGTCATCACGTAGTAAAACTAGTAAACAATCATCATGTAGTAAAACTAGTAAATAAATCATCATATAGTAAAACTAAACTAGTAAACAAGTTATCATGTAGTAAAACTAGTAAACAAGTCATTGTGTAGTAAAACTAGTCAACAAGTCATCACATAGTAAAACTAGTAAACAAGTGTGTGTGTGTGTGTGTGTGTGTGTGTGTGTGTGTGTGTGTGTGTGTGTGTGTGTGTGTGTGTGTGTGTGTGTGTGTGTGTTTGTGTTGCAGGCTCCTACAGCTGTGCTCTGACTGGTGATTGGATAAATTCAGAGTCAGGGAGCAGCCGACTGCCCAGCTGTCTGCCAGGTAACTGAGATACTGCATATCCAGTATTAACACTGAGATACTGCATATACTATATATATACTGTGATACTGCATATACAGTATTAACACTGAGATACTGCATATACTATTTATATACTGTGATACTGCATATACTATATGTATACTGTGATACTGTATATACAGTATTAAACCTGAGAGAGAAAAAGAGTTTGAGCTCCATACTGTTTGAGAAATAATCCTTCATGTGGTTTGGAACATGATATGGAGTTTCATCACGGCAGCATTTAGCTGAGTTTCTGCTGGGAGAGTTCTCCTGATGAGATCTACTCTCTCTCTGAAGCTACTGACCCAGAGTCAGCTCTTTAGTAACAGCTGGAAGAGAGGGGGGGGGGGGGGGGGGCTACAAGGATCTGTTTGGGGTTTGGAGCAGGACACTTCAGAGACATGTCCTTAGTAACAGCTGGAAGAGAGGGGGGGGGGCTACAAGGATCTGTTTGGGGTTTGGAGCAGGACACTTCAGAGACATGTCCTTAGTAACAGCTGGGAGAGAGGGGGGGGGGGCTACAAGGATCTGTTTGGGGTTTGGAGCAGGACACTTCAGAGACATGTCCTTAGTAACAGCTGGAAGAGAGGGGGGGGGGCTACAAGGATCTGTTTGGGGTTTGGAGCAAGACACTTCAGAGACATGTCCTTAGTAACAGCTGGAAGAGAGGGGGGGGGGGCTACAAGGATCTGTTTGGGGTTTGGAGCAGGACACTTCAGAGACATGTCTTTAGTAACAGCTGGAAGAGAGAGGGGGGGGGGGGCTACAAGGATCTGTTTGGGGTTTGGAGCAGGACACTTCAGAGACATGTCCTTAGTAACAGCTGGAAGAGAGAGGGGGGGGGGGCTACAAGGATCTGTTTGGGGTTAGGAGCAGGACACTTCAGAGACATGTCTTTATATATTTGTGTAAGAGACCTTTAACACTGAGATACTGCATATATCTGATAACATGTACTTCTACCACATCAATCAGTACATTAAGCAGTTATTCAACCTCCCCAGGCTGTGGACGCCCGGCCCGCCCCCTGCCCCCCCTGGTGAAGCGGGTCGTAGGGGGCCGGGGGGCCATGCCGGGCCTGTTCCCCTGGCAGGTTCTGCTCCAGGTGGAGGACCGGTCCCGGGTCCCAGAGGATCGCTGGTTCGGTTCTGGAGCCCTGCTGTCCCCGTCCTGGATCCTGACCGCCGCCCACCTGCTGAGGTCCCAGCGCAGAGACAACAGCGTGGCCCCCGTGGCCCCCCAACACGTCAAGGTCTGTACCCACAACAGCTGGTCCCCGTGGCCCCCCAACACATCAAGGGCTGTACCCACAACAGGTGGCCCCCCCCCAACACGTCAAGGTCTGTACCCACAACAGCTGGTCCCCGTGGCCCCCCAACAGATCAAGGTCTGTACCCACAACAGCTGGTCCCCGTGGCCCCCCAACACGTCAAGGTCTGTACCCACAACAGCTGGTCCCCGTGGCCCCCCAACACATCAAGGGCTGTACCCACAACAGGTGGCCCCCCCAACACGTCAAGGTCTGTACCCACAACAGCTGGTCCCCGTGGCCCCCCAACAGATCAAGGTCTGTACCCACAACAGCTGGTCCCTGTGGCCTCCCAACACGTCAAGGTCTGTACCCACAACAGTGTGGCCTCTGTGGCCCCCCAACACGTCAAGGTCTGTACCCACAACAGCGTGGCCCCCCAACATATCAAGGTCTGTACCCACAACAGCTGGTCCCGTGGCCCCCCAACATGTCACGGTCTGTACCCACAACAGCTGGTCCCTGTGGCCCCCCAACACGTCAAGGTCTGTACCCACAACAGCGTGGCCCCCCAACATATCAAGGTCTGTACCCACAACAGCTGGTCCCGTGGCCCCCCAACATGTCACGGTCTGTACCCACAACAGCTGGTCCCCGTGGCCCCCCCAATACATCAAGGTCTGGTCTGGACCAGCAGAACCAGGTCCTTCTCAGACTCGTTCACACTCTTTTTATCAGAGTTATCCCCCTGCATCGTTAATATATAAAATCTACAAATACAGAATACATCAAAGTTGTTGCAGTAATGTCTTCTCTGTAATTTCTTTGTGAAGTCATGCTCGACAGACTCTTCTTGCACTATTTCTATTTACACTGTTGTATCTGTTTTATTAGTTTGATGTCACTGTTGAGGAGCCTGTAAGTGTTTCATTGCACTGTACTGTATATCTCCATGACTGACTGCTGTGAGGCCTTCAGGTGTTCCTGGGACTCCTGGACGCTGCAGACCAGAGGCTGGCCACCAACCGCTCCGTGCAGGAAGTCCTCCTCCATCCACACTTCCAGCCCAACAACTACAACAACGACATCGCCCTGCTGAGGCTGACGGAGCCGCTGGAGTTCAGTGAGCTCATCCTGCCTGTCTGTCTGCCTCCACCCCACAGACAGGTACTAATACTCACACTGTGTACAAGTACTCCATGTTCAAAAGACTCAACGGTTGTATCATCACAGCAGCTAGAAGGTCCTCCAACGATGCCACATGAATATATAGAAGACAATAAAACAGTGTTGAGCTCAGAAATATTAGCGAGATATAAAGAGAGAAGTAGGAACATTTCCTCATAGACTTCTCTACAATCTGAGGTAATAAAGTCCTCTCTGGACTCTCTCAGCCCTCCCTTCCTCTGACTCGTTCCAACTCCTGCCTCCAAACTCTGCTGCAGAAACTCTCCTCTTGACTATTTCATCCTCTCTGGACTCTCTCTGTCCTCTCACATCTCGGCAGGCTCGTCAGTCTCCTCCTGCTCCCTGGCTAAATGACGCACTGCGTGCTAATAGAACCATCCTTCGGGCAGCAGAGCACCCTGACGACCTCCTAACCTATCAGGCTCTCCTCTCCTCTGTCTCTGCTTCCATCTCTCAGGCAAAAAGCACTTTCTTTCAAGATAAGATCCATTCTTCCTATTCCAATCCCAAAAAATTATTTTCCATCTTTTCCACCCTCTTAGAACCCCCCAGAGCCCCTTCCCCCTCCTACCTTCTGTCAAGCGACTTTGTTAACTACTTTGAAAAAAAGGTTGATGACATTCGCTCTTCTTTTTCTGACTCACCTTTACTCACCGCTGGGTCACCTGACCCACCTTTACTCACCGCTGGGTCACCTGACCCACCTTTACTCACCGCTGGGTCACCTGATCCACCTTTACTCACCGCTGGGTCACCTGACCCACCTTTACTCACCGCTGGGTCACCTGACCCACCTTTACTCACCGCTGGGTCACCTGATCCACCTTTACTCACCGCTGGGTCACCTGACCCACCATTACTCACCGCTGGATCACCAGACCCACCTTTACTCACCGCTGGGTCACCTGACTCACCTTTACTCACCGCTGGGTCACCTGACCCACCTTTACTCACCGCTGGGTCACCTGACCCACCTTTACTCACCGCTTGGTCACCTGACCCACCTTTACTCACCGCTGGGTCACCAGACTCACCTTTACTCACCGCTGGGTCACCTGACTCACCTTTACTCACCGCTGGGTCACCAGACCCACCTTTACTCACCGCTGGGTCACCTGACTCACCTTTACTCACCGCTGGGTCACCTGACCCACCTTTACTCACCGCTGGGTCACCTGACCCACCGTTCACCCACACACTAACCTCCTTTTCCCCTCTCTCTCCAAGTGAGGTTCTTACCCTCATTACCTCTGCCCGTCCTACCACCTGTCCTCTGGACCCTATCCCCTCAAACCTCCTTCAGACTATCGCTCCTGATATTCTACCGTTTCTCACCCATTTCATCAACACTTCTCTAACTTCTGGTCACTTTCCAAACAGTCTCAAGGAGGCAAGAGTAAACCCTCTCCTAAAGAAACCCACTCTCAACCCGTCTGATGTTATAAACTACAGGCCTGTCTCTCTCTTCCCGTTCCTGTCTAAAACACTTGAACGCGCTGTCTTTAAACAACTCTCCTGTTATCTCCATCAGAACAACCTTCTGGATCCGCACCAGTCTGGTTTCAAGGCAGGTCACTCCACAGAAACTGCCACCTCATACCTCAAAGACCGTACCTACAGGGTAACTTGGAGAGGGTCCGAGTCCGACCCTTGTCAATTAACTACAGGGGTCCCTCAGGGCTCTGTCCTTGGTCCCCTCCTCTTCTCTCTGTACACAAACTCGCTCGGATCAGTCATTAGCCCGCATGGTTTTTCATACCACTGCTACGCTGACGACACCCAATTCATTCTGTCTTTTCCCCGCTCAGAGACCCAGGTCGTCGCACGCATCTCTGCTTGTCTAGCAAACATCTCTCAGTGGATCTCTGCTCACCACCTCAAGCTCAACCTTGACAAGACTGAACTGCTTTTCCTTCCAGGAAAAGATTGTCCCACTCTTGACCTAACAATCAACATCGGCCCCTCTGTTGTTTCCCCGACTCAGACTGCAAGGAATCTGGGTGTGACCCTAGATAACAACCTGTCCTTCACTGCAAACATCGCTGCTACAACCCGCTGCTGCAGATACACGCTTTACAACATCAGGATCTCGGCTCGTCTGGTCTTCAACCTTCGTAAATGTTCCCACACCACGCCGCTCCTCCGCTCCCTTCACTGGCTTCCAGTAACTGCTAGAATCCACTTCAAGACACTGGTACTAGCGTACCATGCTGTGAATGGATCTGGCCCTGCCTCCATCCAGGACATGGTTAAACTGTACACCCCAGCACGTGCACTCCGCTCTGCATCAGCCAAACGGCTCGCTGCACCCGCACTGCGAGGGGGACCCAAGTTCCCATCAGCAGAAACACGTGGGTTTGATATCCTGGCTCCAACATGGTGGAATGAGCTCCCCATTGACATCAGGACAGCAGAAAGCTCACACATCTTCCAGAGCAGACTGAAAACTCATCTCTTTCCACTCCACTTCGAGCGATAGAATTACTAACAAAGCACTTATATACTAACAAAGGACTGGCTTATCTAAAGCTAGTTGAGTAGCACTTGAAATGTTTTGGCTCTATGAAACCTGATGTACTTATATGATTCTGTTTTCTTCAAGTTTGTATCTTCTTGGTCGAATGCACTTATTGTAAGTCGCTTTGGATAAAAGTGTCAGCTAAATGTAATGTAATGTAATGTAATGTAATGTAATGTAATGTAATGTAATGTAAAGAAGTAGGAACATTTTCTCATAGACTTCTCTTCAATCAGGAAGCAGCTGATGTTCTACTTGTTTCCTGTCTTCTGCAGGACGACCCTCCCTCACCCCTCCCTAACTCTCTGGGTGTAGTTGCTGGTTGGGGGATCTCCCACCTGAACGCCTCCCTCCCCCGGCCAGGCCCCACCCCCCCTCCAGGCCCCGCTCCCCCTCCAGGCCCCTCCCCCTTCCTGCAGTTCGTGAAGCTACCGGTGGTTCCTCAGCTGGAGTGTTTGGAGAGCTACGCCTCGCGCTCCGTCAGATACAACATCACTGACAACATGTTCTGTGCCGGCTTCTTCCAGGGGGGGCGGGACACCTGCCTGGGGGACAGCGGGGGGGCGTTTGTGATGCAGGACGGGGGGGGGAGCGTGGGCGGTGCTCGGCCTGGTGTCCTGGGGGGGGGCCGGAGGACTGTGGGAGCCAGAGGGTCTACGGGGTCTACACCCGTGTCAGCAAATATGTGGAGTGGATACAGCAATACACAGGGGGGTGAGACAGGGGGTGAGACAGGGGGGTGAGACAGGGGGTGAGGCAGGGGGGTATGACAGGGGGGAGACAGGGGGGTGAGACAGGGGGGTGAGACAGGGGGAGAGACAGGGGGTGAGACAGGGGTTGAGACAGGGGGTGAGACAGGGGGGTGAGGCAGGGGGGTATGACAGGGGGTGAGACAGGGGGTGAAACAGGGGGGTGAGGCAGGGGAGTATGACAGGGGGTGAGACAGGGGGTGAAACAGGGGGTGAAACAGACACTTAATCAAACTTACCTTAAACCAGAAACATTTTTTGAGACCTGACCTGAAACAATTTGGAGGTCCTGTTTCCCACAATGCCTTGCTGTTTGTTTTGACAGCAGAAAGGAGACGCATTATGACATATTTTTTATATACTTTATTATCTGAGCGCTGCTGTGTATCTTCACTCTTACTTTACTCCTGTTGGTATGAAATAAAACTTCTGCACACGTCTCAGTCTCTCTGTGTCCATCATGTTAAAGACATTAATATACAACAATCTTTCAAACAGCTGTAATACGCATCAGGGAGTCAGTAGAGACCGTGCAGTCGGACACAATCATCATTAATAACATGTTTATAATGAACCATCAGCCGGTCTGTGAGGAGTCAGATCTGTGGACCATCGATCAGAACATGTTTATTTATGAGTTTAGAGTCCAAAGGAAAGAATCTGCAGCTCAACCAATGACCTCCTGATGTCCATCGTTTGAAACATCCATCATCGTCTGGTCCGTCAGTAGACCTGGTTCTGGTCCGTTAGTCCTGGTCCGTTAGTCCTGGTTTTGGTCCGTTAGTCCTGGTCCGTTAGTCCTGGTCCGTTAGTCCTGGTCCTGGCTGAGGTCCTGGTCCTGGCTGAGGTCCTGGCTGAGGTCCTGGTTCTGGTCCGTTAGTCCTGGTCCTGGTTCTGGTCCTGGTCCGTTAGTCCTGGTCCTGGCTGAGGTCCTGGTTCTGGTCCGTTAGTCCTGGTTCTGGTCCATTAGTCCTGGTCCTGGCTGAGGTCCTGGTCCTGGTCCTGGCTAAGGTCCTGGTTCTGGCTGAGGCCCTGGTCCTGGCTGAGGTCCTGTCTCTGCATGGTGTCTCTGATCCAGTTGAGGAAGTTCCCGATGCGGCTGTAGACCCCAAACCTCCCTTTGGCGGCGCAGCCCTCGCCCCAGCTGACGACCCCCGTCAGGAACCAGGTCCCCCTGTGGTTCTGAACGAAGGGTCCCCCGCTGTCCCCCCCGCAGGCGTCCATCGCCACGTCCAGGAAGCCTGCGCAGAACATGTTGTCTGTGATCACCTGAGGAGGAGACACTTAACTTAGAGACTAAAGACACTTAATTTTAACTAGAGACTAAAGACACTTAACTTTAACTAGAGACTAAAGACACTTAACTTAAACTACAGACTAAAAACACTTAACTTTAACTAGAGAATAAAGACACTTAACTTACACTACAGACTAAAACACTTAACTTTAACTAGAGACTAAAGACACTTAACTTTAACTAGAGACTAAAAACACTTAACTTTAACTAGAAACTAAAAACACTTAACTTTAACTAGATACTAAAACACTTAACTTTAACTAGATACTAAAGACACTTAACTTTAGCTAGAGACTAAAAAGGAACCCCGTGCAGAACATGTTGTCTGTGATCACCTGAGGGGGAGACACTTAACTTAGAGACTAAAGACACTTAACTTTAACTAGAGACTAAAGACACTTAACTTTAACTAGAGACTAAAGACACTTAACTTAAACTACAGACTAAAGACACTTAACTTTAACTAGAGACTAAATACACTTAACTTAAACTACAGACTAAAAACACTTAACTTTAACTAGAGAATAAAGACACTTAACTTACACTACAGACTAAAACACTTAACTTTAACTAGAGACTAAAGACACTTAACTTTAACTAGAGACTAAAAACACTTAACTTTAACTAGAGACTAAAAAGGAACCCCGCGCAGAACATGTTGTCTGTGATCACCTGAGGGGGAGACACTTAACTTAGAGACTAAAGACACTTAACTTTAACTAGACACTAAAGACACTTAACTTACAGACTAAAGACACTTAACTTAGAGACTAAAGACACTTAACTTTAACTAGAGACTCAAAACACTTAACTTTAACTAGAGACTAAAGACACTTAACTTTAACTAGAGACTAAAGACACTTAACTTTAACTAGAGACTAAAGACACTTAACTTACACTACAGACTAAAACACTTAACTTTAACTAGAGACTAAAGACACTTAACTTTAACTAGAGACTCAAAACACTTAACTTTAACTAGAGACTAAAGACACTTAACTTTAACTAGAGACTAAAGACACTTAACTTTAACTAGAGACTAAAGACACTTAACTTAAACTACAGACTAAAAACACTTAACTTAACTAGATACTAAAACACTTAACTTAACTAGATACTAAAACACTTAACTTTAACTAGATACTAAAGACACTTAACTTAAACTACAGACTAAAAACACTTAACTTTAACTAGAGACTAAAAACACTTAACTTGAACTAGAGACTAAAGACACTTAACTTTAACTAGAGACTCAAAACACTTAACTTTAACTAGAGACTAAAGACACTTAACTTTAACTAGAGACTAAAGACACTTAACTTAAACTACAGACTAAAAACACTTAACTTTAACTAGAGAATAAAGACACTTAACTTACACTACAGACTAAAACACTTAACTTTAACTAGAGACTAAAGACACTTAACTTTAACTAGAGACTAAAAACACTTCACTTTAACTAGAAACTAAAAACACTTAACTTAACTAGATACTAAAACACTTAACTTAACTAGATACTAAAACACTTAACTTTAACTAGATACTAAAGATACTTAACTTAAACTAGAGACTACAAACACCTAACTTTAACTACAGACTAAAAACACTTAACTTTAACTACAGACTAAAAACCCTTATCACAGTTAAGATGAGTGTGCTCCGCCTGGTTTGTAGACAGGTATGAGTGTGTGTAGCTCAACAGGTGTGTCCCGCCTGTCCTCTCACCTGATTGGTCGAGCTGCTGCAGGTCTGCTGTCCAATGACGGGCAGCGTCACCTTCCTCAGGAAGCGTGAGGAGCGGCCCATGTGACGAGTCAGACCCCAACCTGAGACCACGCCTCGAGAGTCCTCCTGGGGGGGGGAATCAAGTGTTTATTTCCTGTCTGTCTGCTTCTGCTGTTCCCTTTAGTGTTAGGGGGTTATAGTAAAGGTGTGTACCTGCAGCAGGTACCTGGACAGGTGGGGTTATAGTAAAGGTGTGTACCTGCAGCAGGTACCTGGACAAGTGGTGTTAGAGCCACAATGAAGTCAAAGTTATTATTTAGATTCATAATTTGATAAATGAATTAATGATGTAAAATGATTTATATTGCCATGGTGAATATCTTTTGATGAAATGATTGTTTATTTTAAATCGTAAATATGATCTGTTTCCTTGTACCTTCCAGTGTTTATTTAAGTGAGGTAATTGAGGACAGCCGCGGTGCTCTGAGACCTGATGAGACCTGATGAGACGGGGAGCGGAACAGTTTGTACACCGCAATTAGAAACTAGTGTTGCAAATGGGACTGCAAAGTATAGTTTATATAAGAAAGTATATCACCCAAATATTGAGTTATATTTGTTATTTTGAGACAATTTAAGTCACTTCCTTTCTGTTAATAAATTACATTTTTTGACTGAAAACCTTCGGCTGCTTATTGCTTTGGATTGCGTGTCGTCAACCCCGCTCTATAGTGGCAAAGGAAACCTTGGATGCCACTTCAGATGGGGTTATAGTAAAGGTGTGTACCTGCAGCAGGTACCTGGACAGGTGGGGTTATAGTAAAGGTGTGTACCTGCAGCAGGTACCTGGACAGGTGGGGTTATAGTAAAGGTGTGTACCTGCAGCAGGTACCTGGACAGGTGGGGTTATAGTAAAGGTGTGTACCTGCAGCAGGTACCTGGACAGGTGGGGTTATAGTAAAGGTGTGTACCTGCAGCAGGTACCTGGACAGGTGGGGTTATAGTAAAGGTGTGTACCTGCAGCAGGTACCTGGACAGGTGGAGTTATAGTAAAGGTGTGTACCTGCAGCAGGTACCTGGACAGGTGGAGTTATAGTAAAGGTGTGTACCTGCAGCAGGTACCTGGACAGGTGGGGGTCCGGCAGGCAGGCCGGGGCCGCCGTGGGGCCCCTCCTCACGGGGCCTGAGAGGAACAACAGAGCGATGTCACTGTCGAAGGTGAACGAGTGGAAGTGAGGATGGACGAAAACCTTCTGGACCTTCAACTGCTGCTCCATGGGGTCCGGACGCCTCTTATCATAGTCCCCTGCTCACACACACACACACACACGCACGCACGCACGTACGCACACACACACACACACACACACACACACACACACACACACACATTTATGGACATTTCTCAGTATTAGTAGACATACTAAAGCACACACTCTCTCTCACACACACACACACTCTCTCTCTCTCTCTCACACACACACACACACACACACACACACACACACACACCACACCGCACGCACGCACCACACACACACACACACACACACAAACACACACACACACACACACACACCCACACACACACACACACACACACACACACACACCTATGGTGACGTGGTCCACGCTCTCCTCCAGGCAGTGTGCAGCAGAGACCACCCAGCGGTCAGAGACTAGCGTCCCTCCACAGAAGCCGTAACCATCGGCCCTGCGGAGCAGCACCTGAACGCACCGCCATCATGTGAACATTATTCATATGTTATTATTTTATTATTAGTCTTTATCATTATTAAAGTGTGTGAACGGGTCCTCACCTGCCAGGGACTGCCTCCCAGTTTCTCCAGAACCCCCCCCACGATACGAGGCGTCACCCCCCCCCTCCCCCCCCTCCGTCTCCGTCTCATTACCCCCCCCAGACGATGCGTTCACTGTCCTCAGTTCCATCTCCGTAAAGTTAAGATTCAGCGTCCAGCTGTCGGTGTCCAACATGTTGCTGAGGTTCACTTCCTGTGAGGTCAGGTTCACTTCCTGTGAGGTCAGGTTCACTTCCTGTGAGGTCACTTCCTGTGAGGTCAGGTTCACTTCCTGTGAGGTCAGGTTCAATTCCTGTGAATTCGTCCGCAGAGAGCGTCCTCCGTATGGAACCAGGTGTTTGTGCTGACGGCCACACGGGAACAACACTACAGGAAGTACAGGAAGTACAGTTACTGCACAGGAAGTTACTGAAGTATCAGTGGTATCAGTAGTACAGTGGTTACAGAGGTTACAGTAGTATCAGTAGCAGAGTTTCCGTTAGCTGGTAGTTACCGGACTTTGACCGGTAAAATATGCTGAAGACCGGCAAATCTAAATCTCTCCGGTCAAAATAAATTCCCCTTAGCGCAATACCGCATCAGTTGCGCTAAGACAAGAATAGTCTGTGACAGACAAGAAGAGTCTGTGACAGACGAGAAAAGTACGTGACAGACAACAAGAGTACGTGACAGACAAGAAGAGTACGTGACAGACAAGAAGAGTACGTGACAGACAAGAAGAGTACGTGACAGACAACAAGAGTACGTGACAGACAAGAAGAGTACGTGACAGACAAGAAGAGTAACGTTGACAGACAAGAATAGTCTGTGACAGACAAGAAGAGTACGTGACAGACAGAAGAGTACGTGACGACAGAGTAGTGACAGACAAGAAGAGTACGTGACAGACAAGAAGAGTACGTGACAGACAAGAAGAGTCTGTGACAGACAAGAAGAGTCTGTGACAGACAAGAAGAGTACGTGACAGACAAGAAGAGTACGTGACAGACAAGAAGAGTCTGTGACAGACAAGACGAGTACGTGACAGACAAGAAGAGTCTGTGACAGACAAGAAGAGTACGTGACAGACAAGAAGAGTACGTGACAGACAAGAAGAGTACGTGACAGACAAGAAGAGTCTGTGACAGACAAGAAGAGTCTGTGACAGACAAGAAGAGTCTGTGACAGACAAGAAGAGTCTGTGACAGACAAGAAGAGTACGTGACAGACAAGAAGAGTACGTGACAGACAAGAAGAGTACGTGACAGACAAGAAGAGTCTGTGACAGACAAGAAGAGTCTGGTGACAGACAAGAAGAGTCTGTGACAGACAAGAAGAGTCGGTGACAGACAAGAAGAGTACGTGACAGACAAGAAGAGTACGTGACAGACAAGAAGAGTACGTGACAGACAAGAAGGGTACGTGACCAGACAAGAAGAGTCTGTGACAGACAAGAAGAGTCTGTGACAGACAAGAAGAGTCTGTGACAGACAAGAAGAGGTCGTGACAGACAAGAAGAGTACTGTGACAGACAAGAAGAGTACGTGACAGACAAGAAGAGTACGTGACAGACAAGAAGAGTCTGTGACAGACAGAAGAGTACGTGAATACAAGAAGAGTACGTGACAGACAAGAAGAGTACGTGACAGACAAGAAGAGTCTGTGACAGACAGAAGAGTCTGTGACAGACAAGACGAGTACGTGACAGACAAGAAGAGTACGTGACAGACAAGAAGCTTGTGACAGACAGAAGAGTCTGTGACAGACAAGAAGAGTCTGTGACAGACAAGAAGAGTCTGTGACAGACAAGAAGAGTACGTGACAGACAAGAAGAGTACGTGACAGACAAGAAGAGTACGTGACAGACAAGAAGAGTACGTGACAGACAAGAAGAGTCTGTGACAGACAAGAAGAGTCTGTGACAGACAAGAAGAGTCTGTGACAGACAAGAAGAGTACGTGACAGACAAGAAGAGTACGTGACAGACAAGAAGAGTCTGTGACAGACAAGAAGAGTACGTGACAGACAAGAAGAGTACGTGACAGACAAGAAGAGTCTGTGACAGACAAGAAGAGTACGTGACAGACAAGAAGAGTACGTGACAGACAAGAAGAGTACGTGACAGACAAGAAGAGTACGTGACAGACAAGAAGAGTCTGTGACAGACAAGAAGAGTACGTGACAGACAAGAAGAGATGTGACAGACAAGAAGAGTACGTGACAGACAAGAAGAGTACGTGACAGACAAGAAGAGTCTGTGACAGACAAGAAGAGTACGTGACAGACAAGAAGAGTCTGTGACAGACAAGAAGAGTCTGTGACAGACAAGAAGAGTGTGACAGACAAGAAGAGTACGTGACAGACAAGAAGAGTACGTGACAGACAAGAAGAGAGTACGTGACAGACAAGAAGAGTACGTGACAGACAAGAAGAGTACGTGACAGACAGAAGAGTACGTGACAGACAAGAAGAGTACGTGACAGACAAGAAGAGTACGTGACAGACAAGAAGAGTACGTGACAGACAAGAAGAGTACGTGACAGACAAGAAGAGTCTGTGACAGACAAGAAGAGTCTGTGACAGACAAGAAGAGTACGTGACAGACAAGAAGAGTACGTGACAGACAAGAAGAGTACGTGACAGACAAGAAGAGTCTGTGACAGACAAGAAGAGTCTGTGACAGACAAGAAGAGTCTGTGACAGACAAGAAGAGTACGTGACAGACAAGAAGAGTACGTGACAGACAAGAAGAGTACGTGACAGACAAGAAGAGTACGTGACAGACAAGAAGAGTACGTGACAGACAAGAAGAGTACGTGACAGACAAGAAGAGTATGTGACAGACAAGAATAGTCTGTGACAGACAAGAAGAGTACGTGACAGACAAGAAGAGTACGTGACAGACAAGAAGAGTACGTGACAGACAAGAAGAGTACGTGACAGACAAGAAGAGTCTGTGACAGACAAGAAGAGTACGTGACAGACAAGAAGAGTACGTGACAGACAAGAAGAGTACGTGACAGACAAGAAGAGTCTGTGACAGACAAGAAGAGTACGTGACAGACAAGAAGAGTCGTGACAGACAAGAAGAGTACGTGACAGACAAGAAGAGTACGTGACAGACAAGAAGAGTACGTGACAGACAAGAAGAGTACGTGACAGACAAGAAGAGTCTGTGACAGACAAGAAGAGTACGTGACAGACAAGAAGAGTACGTGACAGACAAGAAGAGTACGTGACAGACAAGAAGAGTACGTGACAGACAAGAAGAGTACGTGACAGACAAGAAGAGTACGTGACAGACAAGAAGAGTACGTGACAGACAAGAAGAGTCTGTGACAGACAAGAAGAGTATGTGACAGACAAGAATAGTCTGTGACAGACAAGAAGAGTACGTGACAGACAAGAAGAGTATGTGACAGACAAGAAGAGTACGTGACAGACAAGAAGAGTACGTGACAGACAAGAATAGTCTGTGACAGACAAGAAGAGTACGTGACAGACAAGAAGAGTCGTGACAGACAAGAAGAGTACGTGACAGACAAGAAGAGTCTGTGACAGACAAGACGAGTACGTGACAGACAAGAAGAGTACGTGACAGACAAGAAGAGTACGTGACAGACAGAAGAGTACGTGACAGACAAGAAGAGTCTGTGACAGACAAGAAGAGTCTGTGACAGACAAGAAGAGTACGTGACAGACAAGAAGAGTAGTGACAGACAAGAAGAGTCTGTGACAGACAAGAAGAGTACGTGACAGACAAGAAGAGTACGTGACAGACAAGAAGAGTACGTGACAGACAAGAAGAAGTGACAGACAAGAAGAGTACGTGACAGACAAGAAGAGTACGTGACAGACAAGAAGAGTACGTGACAGACAAGAAGAGTACGTGACAGACAAGAAGAGTACGTGACAGACAGGAAGAGTCTGTGACAGACAAGAAGAGTCTGTGACAGACAAGAAGAGTACGTGACAGACAAGAAGAGTCTGTGACAGACAAGAAGAGTACGTGACAGACAAGAAGAGTACGTGACAGACAAGAAGAGTCGTGACAGACAAGAAGAGACGTGACAGACAAGAAGAGTCTGTGACAGACGAAGAGTAGTGACAGACAAGAAGAGTACGTGACAGACAAGAAGAGTACGTGACAGACAAGAAGAGTACGTGACAGACAAGAAGAGTACGTGACAGACAAGAAGAGTCTGTGACAGACAAGAAGAGTATGTGACAGACAAGAAGAGTACGTGACAGACAAGAAGAGTCTGTGACAGACAAGAAGAGTCTGTGACAGACAAGAAGAGTCGTGACAGACAAGAAGAGTCTGTGACAGACAAGAAGAGTACGTGACAGACAAGAAGAGTACGTGAAGACAAGAAGAGTCTGTGACAGACAAGAAGAGTCTGTGACAGACAAGAAGAGTATGTGACAGACAAGAGAGTACGTGACAGACAAGAAGAGTACGTGACAGACAAGAAGAGTACGTGACAGACAAGAAGAGTACGTGACAGACAAGAAGAGTACGTGACAGACAAGAAGAGTCGGTGACAGACAAGAAGAGTCTGTGACAGACAAGAAGACTACGTGACAGACAAGAAGAGTACGTGACACACAAGAAGAGTCTGTGACAGACAAGAGAGTACGTGACGTGAAGACAAGAAGAGTACGTGACAGACAAGAAGAGTCTGTGACAGACAAGAAGAGTACGTGACAGACAAGAAGAGTACGTGACAGACAAGAGAGTTGTGACAGACAAGAAGAGTACGTGACAGACAAGAGTAGTCTGTGACAGACAAGAAGAGTACGTGGACAGACAAGAAGAGTCGTGACAGACAAGAAGAGTACGTGACAGACAAGAAGAGTCTGTGACAGACAA